GCTCACCCTCGTCACTCCACTGTCCAGGACCACCAAGGGCAGAGCAAAAGGGAAAGTTAAAACCTGACCAAAGCTTCCCATTAGAGTTGCTGTCAGGCTCTCCTAGTTTATCCTAGCTGGCAACAATATCTAAAGGATCTTGGGGCAACTGAGGAACACTGAAAATCCAAACATGCCTGTGGCATCACCCCTCTGCTTTTCACATGCCAGCACTGCAGGAAGCAAAGTGGAAAACATGGGTGTGCTTTATGGCTATCTACCCAGAAACACTCCTTCAACAAGCTCCAGGAATTTCCATTCACTGCTACAGCGACCCTATTGGCATTTACTGGAAAGTAATGGGAGATGACTGGAACAGTCCAGAACTAATTTGCAGCAGTTTAGAACATCCTAGGGCATTCCCGTTAATAACAGTACTTTTTAAAGTTGGGGAAAATATGGCCTCAGTATCCAAATTTTTCCTGATCTGTGTCCAGGATGAGAGATCACACTGAGCATTTCTCAAACTTTTTGAAAGGTCACCCTCCCTGAGGGACCTTTATTTGAATAAATAAAATGAAAATAAGTCTTTATTTTTTTTTTTCCCTTTATTGTCTCCACAAAAGCGTTATACCACACACAGAACAGGTAACTGACTACCTTCAACTGCTGGTACCAACTCAGCTCCTCCAAGACAGGAGAGTGAAAATCTGGTATAATTAGCAGCTCACTTCTGCCCTGAAGAAAACAAACTACTGTCAACAATTAAAACTGTCTGCTGACTACTGTGAGCAACTCACAACTACCTCCAAGTCCTTCCAGACCCACAGTTTGAAAAATACTACCCCAACTCACTGCTACAGATTGCAACACTGTCACTAAGAAGCACTAAGCAAAAAAGGCTCCACAAGCTTATTGAGAAGAAAAACCAAAATTAAAAACAAAAGCCACCTCTATTCAGGAAGTTTCCCTTCTGTTGTAACATCTTTGTATGGATTCTGGTGACTGACCCCTTACTAGAAGAATGAAAATACCATGTGGGCTGTGCTGAGTTCCAGCCAAGTGGAACAGAAGGGCCAGTGTTGAACCCCATAAGGAAGAGGGAGGAATTAGGAAAGATCGACAGAACTAAAGCTATTCAGCAGCAGCACGGTGACTGCTTAAGCTGGGATCAGTTTGAGAGGCCTAGAAACTAAATGCTCTCTGTGGGGGCAATATGTGCCCCAGCTGGACTCCTCTAGCCTCAAACATCAACTGGTGATGAGAGAAGTGAGAGGCTACCAGTTACTCACAGCTAGAAGAAGATTTGGCCAGGACTGTTGCCAACACAGTCTTGGCAGCAGTAGCCTTGTGTACTTTGAATTGTTCAGGTTTTCCAAATAGATGTATTGGTTTTGCTTTTCTTCTCCCGTACAGGAAGTTTTGTTTGTTTAAAACCATTGTTTAACTCTGTGCTCACAAGTGGAGAAGCATTGCTCATTGTTGAGCATTCAAAGAGTGTAATTGAATTTCCTAGGCTTCTGGGAGAGGGTGCAGCCAGTTTTGTGTAACAATTTTAGCAAGAACCCAATTAAATTAAAGCAAGCTCTGTTGTTGCCAATCTGTGCCTTGGAGAAGGGTTACAATTAAACAGCAAAACATAGCGTGACACTGAGAACAGCAATAGATTTAGTTGAGCATCCTCAAAATACATTACCACAGTATCATAAAACAAAGCTTTAACACTGAGAATTTACCCAAGCAAGACAAACATTACTTCAGCACAACATGATTCTGTGTGGTTTGTCTGGTTGGTTTTTTTTTCCTTTCTAAAACTGAAGGAAAATAGAATTCCTTCAGTACTATCGGGTTTTTAGTCTGCTAGTGTCAGCTACAACTATCTTCTTTAGAAACAAAGGCAACATCTATTAAACAGCTATTAAAATACATTCTGTAGCCTCTGTAAAGGAAAAGCACTTACAGACAAACACACACAAACAAGGAGAGTGGTGAGAAAAACTACTGTCATTAACTTCAGTCACACACATACATCTATAAACATGTAAGGTTTGCTGACAAGAAACTAAGTTACAGACAATCATATACCTTTTTTTAAATATACCATTAGCATTTTCTGGTGGATAATGGAGCGTACAAGCCAAGTGCTTGTGCAATAGTTCCCCTTTTCCTTCATCTGTCCAACCTCCTTCTCTCCTCTGTGACATTAACAAACCTGGCAGCATTCACCAGAAAAATACGGCAAACAGAAAAACAGGGTATAGTTTTTCAGGTCACATTAATTTCTTCCCCCCTCTCTCTTTCATCATTTCCTGATTTTCTCCCCTGTCTCCTATGTCTCTTTTCCATTTTCCTTGCTCATTTTCTTGTCTCAGCCATCTCTTTCTTCCTTTCTTTTCTCATATTATGTCTGCATGGTTTTTAAAGTAGGATTTCTTTCCGCTTTATGCTTTCCTATTATCTTTTGCCCACAGTTTTGGGTTGGTTTTGGGTTTGTTTGGCTTTGGTTTTTTTTAAAGTTATCTGGTTTATGCTGAATTTTTTTCCCCACTCCCCCTTTTAAGTTAACCTCCTCTATGTCTGTTTACTTGCTCAGGTTATTTTTCTTCAAAGTCTAGTCATCTTGTGGACACAATCCTACTCAGATGAATAGTCCTCCCAGCAAACCTACTCATAAGTTTCAAGACCTAAGAGGATTTAAATAGATACTGAGCCCAAAGTTAGACCAGGACAGCCCCTAGAAGCCAAGAGGATATCAGAAAGTGTTTTAGGG